ATCCCAACATGGGTAGCACGAATTTCTGCAAATTGACTCCTGTGATATCATATATCTCCCCATCATTCAGTGAGCATGACCTTACTCTCTGAGATGTGACGTTCTAGGCTTTCTCATTCAGTCCCCACCCCTGTAACAGCCATTTCCTCCATGGAGTCCTGGTTGTGTTAGTGGAGAAACGGTATTTGGAAGCCAAGACCTGAGCTCTGATTACTCCAAGTACTGGGCTGTCATTTCTCCTGAGCTCTCTCAGTGTACCAAAATAGAGAATATAGATATGTATGTACTGTATACACTTTTATATCTGCCTTTTTTTGTTTTTTGATGCTGGGAATTGAACTCAGAACCTTGCACTTACCAGGCAGGCACTTGTGCCACTGAGCTATATCCCTGGCCCTGCATTTATTATTATATCTATCTATATACACTGGAAAAAAGAATTCACATCTGCACCTCCTATTCCAGCTGAACACCACAAAATGCTCTTCTAGCCTTCCCTCTTTGCATATTTATACATCCCCCCCATGAGAAATCAGCTCCTACCACCCTCAATACACCTCCTTAGTGCTCAGTGTCACGGTTTAGAACTAAACTGTCTCCCCAAATGCTCACGTGTTCTGAGCCAGGGCTTTTGGAAGGTGACTGGATCAGGGGTGCTGTACTTATCAGAGAAGCTCAGAGCTAAACCTGCTGTGAGGAGATGGGGTCTGGATACAGGAGTGTGTGGTCCTCTCTTCGTTTTCTGCTTCCTTCCCGCCATGAGGTGAGCAGTTCTTCTCTGCTGGGCCCCTCTGCCATGCTGTTTCTGCCATGGAGCCAACTGACTGTAAAGTGAAACCTCTAAAAACCGTGAGCCCAAATAAAGTGGTGTTGGGTATCGTATCCTAGTGACATAAAAGTAACCAAGGCACTCAGTTTCCCTAAAGGGCCAGTCTCCTGACCTCCATGGTGCCACTGTGCCACAGGCCCCAGGCCCCATCAGGAGCTGTCTTTATGAGCCTGGCTACTATTTTCATCCCTGCCCCACAGTAAATCCATAAACACATTCCTGTCTTTGTGTTGTCACTGCAGTGTCATCAGCATCATTTATCAATGATGGTCACTTGTGGCAGAAGGAACTGAGGGGGTTTTGTGGTGTTTTGTTTTATTTTGTTTTGCCACATTCCCAGGATTTAGGGCTGAAGTACATAGAGTCAGCCCGCTGTGTCTACAAGTTCTGCAGCTGTGGAGTCTACCAATTGTGGGCTGAAAGTATTTGGGGGGTGATTGCATTTGTTACCACACCTTAATAAACAGTTATTTACATAGATATTGTATGTCATCTAGAGATGATTTCACTAGACGGCAGGATTCGTGTAGGTTATATGCACATCCAGCTCCATTTTATAGAAAAGACTTGAGCATCCACAAGATTTTGGTATCTGCAGGGGGTTAGGTGTCTTGGAACCAATTCTCTGTGATACTCTGTATTTAAGTTTTGGGTTTTTTGTCAGGAGAGTTGGTACCAGGAATCGAACTCAGGACCTTGAGCGCAGCAGGCAGGTACGCTCTGAGCTATATCCCCAGCCCTGTATTTAAATTTTGGTTAGTATTTATAGTCATGAGAAAATAGTCCCTCCTTGCTCTGAAATTTAACAGATGATTGGCAGCACAGTGTGATCACTTATGAAGAGCTGATTGCCTGGAGCGCTGTATGGGCCTGAAATCTAATTCAGTTACTACTTAACTTAGCATGATCTCTGCCGATTTCTCTCCCATTAGGTCCTTTCTGCCACTGGACATTCATCTTGGAAAGGCTCTACCTTTGATTTAATGGCAAAGATCCTACCAATGTGCATCCTTCATTCATTCATTCACTCACGCATGCATGCATACACGCATGCAGCGCCCCTTCATTCTTCCACGTTATCTGATGAAGGCCCATACGTGCCTGGAGAAGCCTGTGGTATGAATGTGGGTCCTCCACCCCGTCCTTCCCTGGTCCGAGCCACCTCTCTGGTGTTCTTGCTCTGAGTTCTGCCCCGTCCCCTGTGTACAGTTCTCACCGTCTGGCATGTGAAGGGGAAGTCACAGGGGAGCAGGAAGGAAGGGCATCCCGGTGAGTAAGCCAGACGCCCTAGTGGGGAGCAACTTCTCAGCAGCCACTTTCCTTTGCCCTTGGTTGTCACCTCCTCCCACAGAGCAGCCAGAAACCCGGCAAGAACAGCGTGTTTAACAGCTTGGTCATCACCTTACGGTTTCTGGGGATCTTTAGGGAGCCAGGGAGGAAGGGCCAGCTCTGGCCTGTCCCTTGCCCTCTTCTATTTATTCCAAGGAGTAGGTCTCTGCCTGCACCCCAGGAGCAACAACTTGGGATTGGGGTCCCGCACGCGTTTGCTTCCTGAGTCCTCTGCCCTCTGCCTGGGGAGGGTGTGAGCAGGGCGTGAACAGCTGCTGCAGGTCGCCTTGGGTGAAGGTGATGTTATCAGTCTAACGGTTTCCGCCCTCCTGTTGGTGTGGCCAGAACCTGCACAGGGGGCCATTGTGAGCAGAAAGAGGGATCTGGTGGAGGAAGAAGGCAAAGGCCCCAGGAGCAGGGTTCGAAGTCATGGTGAAAAGCTGGGGTTGTTGGCCCACGCCTGTAATCCCCCCACTCAGGAGGCTGAGGCAGGCAGATTGCCACAAGTCTGAGGCTAGCCTGGGTTGCATGAGTTCAAGGCCAGCCTGCACTGTGTAGCAAGACCCTGTCTCAAAAAACCCAAACAAACAAATAAACAAGAAGTCATGGAAGGGGGCTGGGGGTTTAGCTCAGCGGCACAGCGCCTGCCTGGCAAGCACAAGGTCATGAGTTCAATTCCCGGTACCGGAAAAAGACAAAAAAAAAAA